TTCAAGGTGTTGGGATAAAGAAAAATTTTAATGTTATTGGAATTTCACCAGGTGGGGCAAAACTTCATAATTGTGGTTGATATTTTAAGAACAGGAAGAGAGAAATTAGACAAATATATTGTAAAATAAAAAGAGGTCTCTGATTCTGCAGTTCTTTCTGGTTACAGAAAGAATCCTTCATAGATCTACAGGAATAAATTATTGACCAATTCAAATTTCTACCATGAAGTAGTAAAGTTAACTTATAAAACTGGAGGGCTCTTGGAGTTATGAATTATTGTAGAAATGTTAAGCTGCCATAACCCTACCTTTACATTGTTTGGTTGGGAGATGGGGAGGGGAAACAAAAAAGAGAAGGCAGGTACCTTGTGTCCACTGAAGGAGGTATACTTTATGAATTGTACTCTTGGACACAATCATGGAGTGGCTCTGCCACATGAAATCTAAACTTGGATGGATATTGGGAAGCAATTAACAAAGCACCCACCTGTGTGCCTAGTTGTTGCTGTGGGGAAACAGCAAAGTAGGGAGGCACATACCGGTCTTGCCTCCAAAAGCATAAAATACAATTTAAAATGTGCTTTTTATTTCTTATTTAAAAATTAGAAATTCTAAATATTATGTTGATGTTAACCTAAAGTCCTTTCTTAGGTCTGTATCCTTTCCAAGAAAAGAAGGTTAATACAGGCTTTGTTACAACTGGCAGATACTGCTGATAAATAGCATACTCAAAACAAAACCCCAGCAAAAACAAACAAAACAAAACAAAAGCCCAGCAATTTGGTGATTGGTAGCTACTGAAACTGGTTCTGTAAATCACATTAAACACTTTGGGTAAAGACATTCCATAAATGCTAAACAATAAACACACGTGAGGAAAACAGTTCTAGACGCTCAAGCCCTGTTTGGTTACATTTTGTTAAAGCTTACATTTCCTAAACTAAGCCTTATTTAAACTAAGTTTACTAACGACTTACATACCCTACTAGACTTAATTTTGACCATTATGTGATCAAACACTGCCAACCCATTTCTGAAAAGATAATTACAGCTCTTCATTTTGGATATTCACAAAAAGCCCAATTACTGAAATGTGCAGGGGCCCTATCAGCCGACCCCGTGACTGCACACAACCCCTCCAAGTTACAGCCTTGAGCACAGACCACCCCTCTGAGACACGGCCCTTACGCCCAGAAGGGTGAACTCGGGGAGAACATCTCCACCTTAAGACTCTGTGTTGTGCAACTGGAAGGATTTTGACAAGACCTCACATTTAGGTCCCCAGGAAGTGCCAAACTTTAAATTGCCGTGAACAAAGGAAAATGACACCCTTCTCAAGCAAGTGGGCACTCAGAAATACCTCTGTGTCATGTGCTTGCAGAAATACATACTAAGAAATAGGAGTAAACATCTCTGTTGTTTCTAAGGCCAATGGCTTTTACAATGAATAAATGGGCCACTTTGCCCACAGCACACATGCTATAATTGAAGCAAAAACACCATGCAATATGGACTGTCAGCATTTTTAACCCTCTATCAATATCCAACTTGTACAAAATGGGCAGAGCAGTCAGATCTTGAATAGACACTACAAGTCCATAAAGCTCTAAAATACGAAAGTCCTATGTCTTACTAACACACAAAATGTTAAGGGGGAATTGCTAACTTCATGGGTTAATATTCTGCAAAATAACTTCTTACACAATTCTATTGTGTCTTTAATGTATATCATCTGAAATTTCATAAAACTGGTAAACCACACAAACCGTGTTACTTTAGAATTTGTACAGCTAAATGCACCCTAGTGGAAGTATAATGATTATGTTTGCAAAAGTTATAAACCAATTTTACATTTTAAAATGCTTTAAAATAATAATTCATTCACTATATCAAATCTATGAGCAGTCAAAATTATACCCATTTCACAGATAAGGAACTGGACATTGAGAAAAAAAAATCCATATATCAATTTAGAACAATATGAATTCATGGTCCTTAAACCCCCTAGCCCTCTTAAGTTCTCCTTCCTTCTCTCTCTTCTAATTAATTCAGCAAAGCGGCTTATATGTAAGCTTATGCAGGATTTCTTTACTAATCAACTATTCTTCCACTCTTAAAATAAGTAGGACTAGCAAGGAAAACTACTATTTAAAATCCTTATGGCAAGTTAAAAAGACAAATAGAAACCTAAGCAAATCTAATCTCCTACTTAGGCTGTTTTGCTTGCACCCTAATTCTGGGGTTTGGTACATAGAGCTGGGTAACAGAGGGTCCCTACAGAAGCAGACCTAATTGATGAAGCAGAATTTGAAATCACTCCAACATTTGGTTTTCTTTCAGGGTTCAGAATGAGGTCCTAACTGGGAAAGCTCCAGAGACAGGAGTTTTGGGCAAAGACTAAACAAGATATGGGAAAGTAGTTGCCCAATCTAAATTACGGTCACCTGGGTATTCCAATGTAACACCCTGATATATCCCATTCCACTCAACATCACAGTAGATAGGGATAAACCTTCTGCCACAAACCAGTATGAATAGTTAAGTTACATCTCAGTCAGTGAGTCTCATCCAGACTCTTTTAGGACACAAGTTACCTCTGTTATCTGTAAATGTTTGGCTTATAAGAATAGGGACATAAAGTACTTTCCAGTGTGCTGGTGTAAATCAACTTACATGGATTCTAACAAACACCGATTCATCTTAAAGGAGGTTATTCATCAGCGGAAATGGGTTATTAGATTTTGGTGAGAAAAAGGAAAAAATAAGATTAAGATAATCTAAGTTGACAGGATACGATAGGATATCCCTTAAGCTAAAGTTATCTCAATTAAAAAAGACCACAAATTAAAATCATTATTTTAAACATAAATATAAAATTTTCATATAAAATATATTGTTAAATTTTAAACTAAGTCCACACTTTCTTATAAAATAGCCTCTAGGACACTAGCTGAGATAATAGGGGCTCAAAAATACTGAGCAAGTGAACATTATAACTTGCATTAATGATATTTAAACCTTACTTTTTAACTAATAGTTCAACATCTCTTGGTAAAAAGGATCTTCTGTTAAGAATTTGGATTCTATTTTGATCTTTAACAAGCCAAATTATCTTTTTTGTATGATATTTAAAATATAAATAGCATTACTTAATATAATTATAAAATACACAAGGGAATTAGAGATTTGCTAAAATTATCCATTTAATTACTAAAATTCAGCAATTTTACTGATTTTTTCCCTGAAAAAGGAGTATTACATATATGTATGTGTATAATAAAGTTCATGTGGATAGGAAACCAGAAAATACTTTCTATGGTGGCTTTAAAGTACATTTTTAACCAAAAATGTTATCCAGAGCCATGTTAGGCCACAATGTAACCAAAGTATAAATAGTAGAAATTCACATCCCCTCAAACAACTGTCCTTCCACTTAGAACACAATGAACTTCTTCAGTAAGCAGAGTTGTTGTTCACTTAGCTGCAACTCCATTTAAGCATGGAATCAAAGCAAAACAAAACAAAAACAAAAAAGTGAAGAAGTGAATAGAAAACATATGCATTAATAGTTAATATACGCTATCTAAGTGTTAGGTTCCTACAGAAATATTTTGCTATGTTTTTAAAATCACTTTTCAAGGGTAGCTGTTTTCATCCAAGGATCGATTTCCCCCACTTTCATTATCTTTTATAATGAAATGCTCTGTTTTCAAGTTACTTATTGGAGTTGTTACCAACAAACACTGTCACACACATTCAGTTCAAGATATGAATATTAGTGTAATACTTAGTTTCTGTTATAAATAATATATGTATAAAACAAATAGGGTTGCCATTACTTATATACTGCAATAAATACACAAGAATGAATACAAATTAGTTTTCATAAAAATACAATTTCTAGCCAACTTAGGAGATTTCCAATCTATGAGGACATTAAATACTGTAAATACCAGGCAGTCTCCTCTGTTACAGAATGCCAGTCAGGAGAGATCTGAAAGAGATTCTTTATTGGTAGCCATATACAGTTGATTATACCATCTCTGTGTTTTCTTGCTATTTAAGAAAAAATATAGAACCTGGACATTTAAAACATTATCAATGCAATAATCACTACAGACTGTCACTGGATCTATTAAAATTTTGTTAAAAATTACCAAAGTCATGATGAATACAATTATTGCAGCTACATCATTTGAAAAAGTAATATAAATTATGCTGCTAAAGACAAAAAACATTGAAACACATAAACATCACAATGTAACACAGCAATAACTCATAACTATTTAATATGAAAAACTAAATTTAAAAAGTTATGTTAGAGAACTTGGGAATTTTCCACTTTAGCAAAAACAATCTATGTATCTCCAACTTCTATGATACAGTATACAATAAAATACTTTTAAAAGATAGGACATTCAAATGCTTCATTTACACAAATAATATTGCCAATACTAATAAAAGTGATGCCCTTAAACATGAACTGCTCTGCTAATTGTGATTTTAAAAATGTTTTCTTTACTTAATTTTACATTTTAGTTAGCAGTTAGCATTACATATTAATCAGTTCTGGGTTGACAAATAGAGAAGATCCTAGTCAAAATACTGTTGCTCAAAAGTAATGTACATCATATTGCTTGAAACTAACAACCATATAAAAGTGGTAATCATTTATCTAAACATTGATTATGAAAGACAACTGGCATATATTTGGGCAGAGTGTTGAGTTCATGATGGTTTATTTACGATAAAAGTACTTCTACCGAAGCTAACATGATAGGTAAGTTTCTATGTCAATTACTACAGTCTCTTAAAGTTATAAAAATATTATATAAAATACCACAGGCTTTAGAGGATATAACTTCATGTGGTTCTGATACTAGCAGCTGAAAAGTATTTATAATTTAAAAATAAATAAACTATAGAGGTAAACCAGTTACAAAACAGCAGAGGACTGCAATAGTCACAAGAGTGAAAAGAACTGCTTAATTACACAATAGCTAACAAAATGGTGAAGCAGTTGGATCAAAAGTTTTAAAAACCTCTTTCAGAGATTTGTCATCTGGTTCTTTACTGGGATCATTTTCTGGGGTGGGACTCATCTGTCCTGGCTGTCTTGACTGCCTTGGATCGCTGTACTGGGGTCTAATTAAGCCTGTTAATGCCTGAATAGGAAGACTGTGCACTGCTGGGACCTGAACCACACCAGAACTCCTGAGATTATCTGCCTGTGGGTCAACTGGCCCATCAACAGTGACTTCCACATTCGGACTGGTTTTCTGTGGCGGGATTGCCTCTCCAGGAGAAGGTTCATTTTTGTCACTACTTTTTAAACTACCACTTTTTTTCTGGTTCTCTGCATTTTCTGTTGCTAGCTCTGATGTAGATGATGAACCATGCTCCCTAGGGTCATACAAACTAATGCCACTAAGAACTGAACTTGGAGTTCCCAGTGGAAGGCCAGCTGAAGAGGAGAGTTTAGGGGCATATGGAGGCAAGGCCCCGGGACTAGAATTGCTAGTTATTGCCCCTGAGGGCTGTGATGAACCAGGGTTTGATCTGGTTAAGTGAGGGGCACTCTTTAATGTATGTGAATCCTTTGTAACTGCCTGATGAGACTCTGTACCATGCTGTCTATGAAGTCTAGGATCAAAATTTTTTTGTAGCCTAGGATCTCCTAACTTACTTCCTGAACTATGTAAGTCCCCAAATTGTTCTAGGTAGCCTTCTCTGTTTGTTGTGTTAATTTTGGCTTTGGCTGCTAATTTTGAATCAATGGGCATGGCGTTTTGATGAAGATCGCTTTTTGTATTCCATAACCTATTGAGCCTCTGGTCAGCTATAAGAGGGGGTAGAGGTAAATTGATTGAAGATACTGGGTCAGGTTTAGGTAAGGGGACTGGAAGTAAGTCTTCTGGAGCCCACACGATGTGTTTTGCAAAGTTGGGTTTGGTTAGGATAATATCCATTTTAATGTGACTGAACTGTCTCAGTTGTGACCTTGGATCCTGGAGCATTATACCAGGGGAAGAATCCAAAGGTATTAAGAAAGCTTTTTCTCTCAATTCTCTTTCTGTATCTTCATCATCATCATCTCCTCTTTTGTGTTTGACAGAGCCAGCATTTGCATGGTGTGAATCAAACTTTGTTCCGCCAACGGAAGATCCTGTGTGACTACTTCCATTCCCTCTTAATTTTCTGGGATCCCATACAAGTCTAAGATCCAGCGGGGCAGACTCAGAAGCTTTTCTCATGTCTTGCCTTGGGATAGTACGAAGTCTAGGGTCAACAACTTGGTTTCCTTTACTTTTCTCTTTAGCAAGTCTTGGATCAGTAGGAGTGCTGAGCTCTGTGGAAGGTTGTTGCTGATTCCTTAAAGTTTCTGTTTGTTTCTGTAATGTTTTCAGTATTGACTTGACACTGCTTCCTTCTTCCTCTTCACTACTGGAATACCAGTTAACAGTATCATCTAAATGTAGACAAAAACTTATTGTAAAGAATGAAACATTCATATTTGGCCTTAATTGAGATAATTTAAAAAACACATGCTATTTCTGAAATAAGTGTAGTCTAATTTCAAGAAAATGTATCATAGAAATGCCAGAGTTTCAACACTGGAACAAAATTAGATGTGGGATGACAATGATCAATTTAGTCGTTATACTCCATAAAGAAAGAAGTGTGATACTAGAATATGTGTAATGTCCTTCCAGCCAGGAGAAAGTCAGAACCTTTCATTCCGACTGGCCAAAGTGTGTGTGGTATGACAGAGTTGGGTAAGAAGAGAAATACTCTTGGAAAAGAACACCAAATGTTTTGGATCTCTTTAATTCTAGTAATACTCAGGTTTCATAGCTCTGGATTTATCAAGATAACAAGGGAGAAATACTTTTTAAAAATCTGGAAAGAAAACAAAAACACTAATAGTACTGGTTAAGGAAGCAATGGGAACTGACCAAATGAGGGATGATGTAGAGATTTTTCATTTATAGCTTATTATATTTTTAGATGCTTGACATATGTGAATATATTAGCTATTTAAACATTTAAAATTAAAAGTAACAAAACAAACATCCTGAAATCTATACACTTTATGGGAACACTTCAGACCTTACTCCTAGTCTATTTAACCTTACTGTGTTAGATACACTGTTAAGCTTAACTATCAGAGGTATTCTCTCTAGTAGTACAGAAGGGATTATAAACTGATGCTGCAGAAGGGGAGTCTCCTTCCTTTCCATTAAAACAACATACATTAACTCTGAAGTGGTTACACACATACACTCATACACACACACTCATACATACATATACATACTAGAATATCTTGGATGAATAGAATATTGTAAATATTCTCATTTTACCTCATTTCATTTCATTAATGTGTTTCTATTACATGGAACTTCAGTGTTACACATTTAGTTTGAACAGAGCTTGCAAAACAAGTACTGAAATTTAGGCTGAAAAGTGTGGTTTAAAATTGTACAGACTGGGGCATGCGGGTGGCTCAGTCAGTTGAGTGACCAACTCTTGATTTCGGCTCAGGACATGATCTCACAGTTGGTGAACTCGAGCCCCGCTCAGGCTCTGCACTGACAGCACAGAACCTGCTTGGAATTCTCTCTCTCTCTCCTTCCTCTCTCTCTCTACCCCTCCCCTGCTCTCTCTCTTTCCCTTTCAAAATAAATAAACATAAGAAAAGTCTTAAAGTAAATTTCAAAAATTGTATAGATTATATCACAATGGAAAAAAGTTTTTTTTTTAAAGATTTTATTTTTAAGTAATCCCCCTGCCCAATGTGGGGCTCAAACTTAACAACCCCAAGATCAAGAGTCGCATGCTCCACCGACTCAGCCAGCCAGGTGTCCCAACACAACTGATAAAAGTTTTACTCATATCTCAGTGTCTGAAGAAAACTACTTTTAGGGGCGTCTGGGTGGCTGAGTCAGTTAAGCTTCCTGCTCTGGATTTTGGCTCAGGTCATGATCTCATGGTCATGAGACTGAGCCCCATGTTGGGCCCTGAACTGATGGTGGAGCCTGCTTAAGATTCTCTCCTTCCCTCTCCCTTGGGCCCTCCCCTGCTTGCGCTCTCTTCTCAATAGAAAAAAAAAGTGAGCTAGCTTTCAAAACAACAACAACAACAACAACAACAACAACAACAACAACAACAACAACAACAGGCTACTTCTACACACTAGATCTCTTTTCTTCTTCTCAGTGACCTCAGGAAGCCTAAAGCTTTTACCTATTGCCATTATTTTAAATACTTCTGTATAGGAATTTCACTCCTCACAGAATTTGTTACTTGATCCAAATAGGTAAGATGATCCAAATCTGATCCATATAAGGAAAATACTATTTTATTTTGACTTTCATATCTATAAGCAATCTTAAATCCTTTTTGGAATGAGAATGAGTATATGACAGAAGGAAAGCAAACCAGTAGAGATAGCCCAATGGAAAGGAGATTTTAGATAGGAAATGACAGTTATCAGCTTTTTATCAAAGGACAGATAAACTTATAAGGGCATTAAAATTTATAAAAATGAACACAAACACAAAAAAACCTAGCTGTTCAAGATTTTTTCTGGACACAGAGAAAAAACTCTCATAAAACCTCACCAATTATATAATATTATAGTACAAAATTTTATATCTAGAAAATTTGTAGTTTTCTTATTTATGAAAATACAAATCTTTGTAAGACTTTATAGAAAATAATGAAAATTGTTTTTTCTTAAAATTAAGTTTTAGCACTTAAAGGAGCAAACATAAATTGTACAGGAAATTAACTTATTAGGAATCCCTCATTTCCCCATGATGTTAAATAAATGAAAAGTTAATGCTACCTTCTTTGAAAAGGCAACAAACAATGTTTATATAATAGCTTGTAGCTACCTAATGTTATCTAGTTCTACACAGTTATTTATAAATTTTATATTTAAGAGTGGGCAAATGGGCACCAGGCTGGCTCAGTTGGTGGAGAGTGTGACTCTTGGTCTGAGTCGTGTGTTTGAGCCCCACAGTGGGTGTGCAGTTAAGAAAAAGGAAATACACACACACACACACACACACACACACACATACACACACACACACACACACACAAATAGAGTGGGCAAACACATCAATTTTGTAATTCATAAAAATTTGATGCTTTAAGCTTTCTCTCCTTAACTGAATTAACTAATTGCTATACACTTATCAATATCAAAACCACTAGGGTAAACTTGGTGTCTCCACATAATCTTTTAAAAAAATTTTTTTTAAATAATGTTTTTATTTATTTTTTGAGACAGAGAGAGACAGAGCATAGCAGGGGAGGGGCAGAGAGAGAGAGAGAGACACAGAATCTGAAGCAGGCTCCAGGCTCTGAGCTGTCAGCACAGAGCCTGACATGGGGCTCAAACTCATGGACTGTGAGATCATGACCTGAGCCGAAGTCGGACGTTTAACCGACTGAGCCACCCAGGCGCCCCTCCACATAATCTTCTATATTAAAAAGAATACTCCTTCATAATATAGTAGAACCTGAAATACACAGCCTGTGCCCATAAAAACTTCTCTAATAACTGAGTCATTTTAAACTTGGGCTAGAAGTCAAACTTCCTGAACTGGAAGATGTCCTGTTTCTGTTCTATTTCTTTCTTCCAAACACAGGACTTATTAGCAAGTCTGCTCAGCCAGGCCTCATACTATAGCTTCAGATCAAACCCTTTGCAATTAATTACTAAAGCATGTATGGCCCTGGAAACCACAATCAATTCCAAGCAGATAGGAGCTACGAGGTAAACTGGAAATAGAATAGATAGTTTAGAGGAACTCCTTTTCCAAGTTTTAACCTATTCAAGACCGTTTCAGGAACCAAGTAATCCAAAGTAAGATGCTATCAGCACCTGACACACCTTCTTCCTTGCTTGGTGCCCTCTGAGGTTGGGTGCTGCTTGGTTCATCTTCTTCTTGGTATTTCTGAGTAAGTCTCACAAAAAGAGCTCTCTGCACTGCAGGAAGGAGACCTGGTGCAGGCAGGGGGCCGTGGCCCGTCGTGTTGCTGCTGCCGTCAGATCCACCACCCCGGTTTGGGGAATCTTGAACAACCGGAGGCTGATGCTGGGCAAATTCAACATGCCACATGCCATCTATACACATAACACAGAAAGACACAGATGTGAATTTAGCACAGAACTCCTCTAGAGGGCACCACAGTGAGTTATAACAAATTGAAGCTCTAATACTAACTACATTTGATTACCAAATTATTATGTGATTGTAAATATTTTTTAAAACTATCTAAAGTTCTGGTGTAACCAATGTTTGGTTAAATTTAAAACATATTTTATGGTTTTGGGGGCACCTGGGTAGCTCAGTTGGTTAAGTGGCCAACCTGATTTCAGCTCAGGCCATGATCTTGTGGTTCATGAGATCGAGCCCAGTGTGGGGTTCTGTGCTGACAGGGCAGAGCCTGCTTGGGATTCTCTCTCTCCCTCTCTCTCTGTCCAACTTCATTTGTGCTCTCATGCATGCTCTCTCTCTCTCAAAATAAACTTAAAAAAAAAACATGTTTATGGTTTCAATTTTATTACATTTTACTTAGCTTTATTTAAAACATACATTCTTATGTTTTTAATGAAAGATAGATAACTCCAAAGATTTTAAATTAAAAATGAGTTATTTCAAAAGGAAAACTTACCACCAGAGTTATTGGGTGGCTGGAAATTATGTACAACATGCTGTGAATAGTAATTATCATAAAACTCGGCTGGGTTTTGTACGGACTCATAACTGGTGTTGAGCTGCATTTCACCAGTACTTTGCAGGTATGACGAACTTGGAGAACAGTGATTCTCTCTAGGTACTTTCATCATGTGTTCTGGAAAGCCTGGGCAATGGTAAGCACCACTCATACTTGGTGGTGTCAAAGGTGGATCTGGTTGAACAAGTACTCCAGCTTGACTGTGAGGACCTAAAATTCCAGGTGGACCAGGTGGCAAAGGTGGGCTGTGCGGCACGGCTGCACATGGATGATGTCCGGGGGAGCCTGGGTGCATCACAGGACTATTATGTCCCTGAGACATATTGGGTCCAGGACCTGGACTTGATCCAGAACTATAGATATGTTGAGGATGTGGACTGCCTTCCTGAAATTGTGGTCCTGGTGGTGAGGCACTATTATAAAATGCTGGTGGCCTGTAGACAGAAGGAATATTTCTTAGCTCAAAGAAAGAGGCAAGTAAGAATGTTACATTTTTAAATAAGTATTGGTTGCATGTGCTTTTCTATATCAGAACGTGTTTTTAAGAAGCAGTTTATTCCATATTATCTCCAAGTGAAAACACCAATACATGCATCTTGCTTTCATTTTCAGCTCAGTCTTAACTGCCACTCACTATCACCTGTTCTAAAACTTACTCAGAGATATTTTGAAAAATACAGAAAAGTACAAAAATAAGTAAGAATCACCTCTAATCCCACCACCCAAAGGTAAATTTTTCTTTATTAGTTCTCTCCTAGTCTAGGCATACACAGATCTTTTTTAATACATAATGAAATTAAAATTATACTATATAAACATACAACTTTTCAATTTCTGATTGATTACTGGTGGCATATACAAAGACCTTTAGGTTTTGACTATTGTTCTTCTTTCTGGATATCTTACTAATTTAACTACTATTTCTAATAGTTTTGGCAGTTGGTTCCTTCAGGATTACTGAGGAAAACTGCCCAAATAATGGCCTGTCTCTCCAGGCCATTTTATATCTTTGTATCTATTATATCTTTCTCTTTTTGCATTGACAAGGATCTGATCTACAGTATTAGCCAACAGTGCACATACCTGTCTTCTTCTTGACCTTAATAGAAATAATTTTAATGGTTCACATTAACTATGATGTTTCTTATAGAGTTCTTGTTCCTCATTTGCTGACATCTCACTGTTAGGGATCCCTGAGTGTTCAGGGTTAAAAGAACAATCAACAATAGGACTTAAAGCCCAGATGCATAGACCCTGCGGTGTGGGTAGCAAGGCTGGAATGGTGGTGTTAGAAAATGCAGATCTGGATCCAGCTTATCCCCAAAGATTTTCCTCTACTAGCCCAAGGAAATATTTCTCTAAAAGAACTAAATATTCTTAAGCCATGCTAATGCCACTATCTGAAGGTGTTATCAGTATTCATGCAGCCTCCTAACAAATTGGGAGAAATATCAATTCATCCACCTGGCAGTGCCCTTCCGGATGGATTACTGTGTGGAGAGGTTTCTGAAGCTGTGTTAAGGATTCCATAGAGAAAAGCATGGATGGCATGCAGTGGAGGGTGGGGACAAAGAGAAAGTAGGAAGTAGCAATTGGGGTGAATGCCAGGTATCTGCTATCTCTACTTAAGTTTAATTATATGATTACCGTGGAATACAAGTTAGTTTCTTAATAAGAATTTTTAGGAGCAAAAATGGTATCACTAAAAAAAATTTTAACTTACTTCTTCCCAATCTTATGTGCTAAATCCACAGTAGGTTTCACAACTATTTCAAAAAGAGATGGGATTTTCTTGAAATCATCGGAGAGATCTGTCTGAAAATCATCTTCAGGATCAGAAAAGGGAAAATGCTCTGGTGGGGTTGGCAGAAGCCCAACTCCTGGAGGTGGTTTGGGAAGAGGAGTTATGCCCCGTTTTCTAAGTTCTTCTAATTCTCTTTCATCTTCATTTGTGGCTTCTTCTTCAGTGTTCAACACCTAAAAATAATTGGCAAAGATTACTATTTCAACACAAGCTTTCTTCCTTACATTTAAAATTTTTTTCAATGTTTATTTTTGAAAGAGAGTCAGAGAGAGAGAAAGAAAGACAGGGACGAGTGCAAATGAGGGAGGGGCAGAGAGAGAAGGACAGAGGATCCAAAACAGGCTCTATGCTGACAGCAAGAGAGCCAACATGGGGATTGAACTCACAAACCGTGAGGTCATGACCCCAGCCAAAGGTGGATGCTCAACTGACTGAGCCACCCAGGCACCCCTCTTCCTTACATTTAAAAACTGTGAACACTTCAATAAACTAGTTTTGATATTAGAAAATTATCATTTTAAAGTTAAAATGGATCAGAGAGAGAAAACTCATTTTTGATAATGAGATTCAAAATGGTAAAGGATATTTCTCAAAGTACATTAGCTTTTTAATGGCAGAACAAGAGTAAGAAAAGATTCTTAATTCCTAGCCCAATATTTCTGCTTTTCTAACACACTACATTAAAAAAATTTTTTTTAATATTTACTTTTGAGAGAGACAGAGACACAGACAGAGCATGAGCAGAAGAGGGCAGAGAGAGAGGGAGACACAGAATCCGAAGCAGGCTCCAGGCTCTGAGTTGTCAGCACAGGGCCCGATGCAGGGCTTGAAACCACAGACAGTGAGATCATGACCTGAGCCAAAGTCGGACACTTAACTGAATGAGCCACCCAGGTGCCCCTTTAACACACTACATTAATGGATTAAAACCTAAAATAGCAAACCCTTGATTTCTCAGGAGGGTTTTATGAAATGTAATTTGTAAAACATGATTCAAGTCAAATGAATTTGTGGTGAGACCTAACAAATAACTGAAGTGCAAAAGACAGTACTTACTTTGTCCAAAAGTTTCTTTGTTTCTTTAGTCAGATCATCATGGGAAAATTTACAATTGTCTCCTTGGTAACATTTCGCTCCACTGTGATAGAACTTACATGGAAATTCATGTAAATAAAAATATTAAGGAATAAACCAAGTAAAATCAAACCCCAATATTTTTAAACCACAAAACATAACTGTGCTGAGTCAATCATATCATACTAAATTTTCTACAATCATGTCAGATTAGACTACTTAATTTTTTTTTAAGATTAAGTATTTTAATTAGGCAGCAAACATTCAAAAATTTTAAATCTTTCTTACTATATTAAACTAGAAATTTTTTAAAGAAAAAATACTTACAATTGTTATAGCAAATACTATAGTATTCTAGTTATGTAAGTCCTGTAATTTTCCATAATAAAAATATTACATAAAACAAATTTTGTAGCAAGAGCTTATATCTATGAAGAAAACAAAAGGACTTGATATGTCATGTTAAAGTCAAATATCCCAACATGAAAACTATAAGCAAATCATTCTCATGATTTTGGAGACAAACCTCAAACTTCTAAAGAAAATATTAAATCCATAAGCTTATTAAAAAAATATACCATTTGTGTTTATGTTCAGAGAATTCCTGAGTGGTTTTAGCATATTTATTATTATAATCATTACATTGACAAGATCAAGAGAGAGAAATCATATGATCATCTCAGCAGATACAAAAGGCAACTGCTAAAATTCAAAATCTTTTTTTGACTTAAAATAAAAATAAAAACCTCTTAGTAAAATAAGAACACAGTTACTTAACTTGATTTAAAAAATCTTAGGGACACCTCAGTTGGTTAAGTGTCCGACTTCGGCTCAAGTCATGATCTCACAGTCTGTGAGTTTGAGCCTGCATCAGGCTCTGTGCTGACAGCTCAGAGCCTGGAGCCTGCTTTGGATTCTGTGCCTTCCTCTCTCTGCCCCTCCCCTGCTCTCTGTCTCTCTCTTTCTCTCAAAAATAAATAAATATAAAAAAATGTATCTTAGAACTATAGTCACAAGGGGTGCCTGGCTGACTCAGTCGATGGAGTATGGGTACATCAATCTCAGGGTTCTATTGTTGAGCACCACATTAGGTATTAGAATTCACTTAAAAATAAAATCTTAAAAACAAAAACAAACAAATAAAAACCTACAGCCACAAGCCAAAGCAAAAAAGCACTATAATTAAAACATGTATTATGTCTGTCACAATCACTACTGTTGAACATCATGCTGGAAGTGTAGCCAATATAATGAAAATTAAGAAGCTTAAATGTGATAAAAGAAGTAATTATTATTATTTACAGATGACATAACCCTATGGGGAAAATCTAAGAATAGGCTGAAAGCTTTTATTTCAATAAGGTGTTTGGTTTCTAAAGAAATATGCCAAATCTTAAAAAGATTTCCTTTTCTTGAGTAAGTCAAATTTATTATAACATTTTGATAGAGAAAGGAGGATTATTTGTCCTACTACATATCAAATATACTATTATAGAGGGGAAAAATCAAACAGCACAATGTGTGATAGTAGTATAGAGGTAGATCTGGTCAAGATGCCATTTTAAATCAGTGAAGATGAGACAATAAGTGTAACCATCTGGAAAAAAAATAAGGTCCTTACTGCACATCACACATTAAAAAATAATCCATATCAACTAAAGGTATAAATATTAAATTAAAAAAAATACAACTTTAACAACCAGAGCTGGATAACATTTTTGTAAAAAATTATGTGTAAAAATATATACATATATACATCCAGTCATACATACATACCTCAGCATGGAAAAAAAATCTTAAAGGCTTCACACCATATTGTTAGCATGGTTATCCATGAAGAGTGAGATTACTTAGGATTAAAAAAAGTCAACTTGAAAATTATCAAACATGTACCAAAGTAGAGAGAAAATGAGCTCCCTCCTGCTGGCCATGTAGGTTCAACAATTTTCATCATTTGGAATTCTGTGAGATCTTTATCACTCCTATACTCTCTTCTCGACTCTCCCCACAAACACTGGAGTATATGAAACACAGCACATTCCAAATACATTACATCAGAAAATCGTTTCCAAATTTATTTCAAATGGATAAGGAATATTTTTCTTAGCAATCACAACCTTACCATCAATCTAAAAAAATTAACGCATTAATTTCATCTGATACTGTCAATACACAAATTTTCCAGACTGTTTCCAAAAAATGTCTTTTTATAACTGCTTTATTCACATCAGGATCCAAACATGATCCATAAATTGCATCCAGTTAATAGACCTCTCAAATTTCCTTTATTGATCTCTAGAAGTCCTCCTTGATTTTTGCATCATTTGTTAATTTTACTATTTGTCAATAGATGGTGTTTAAACACTCCGTACTGCATCGTATTAGGAGGCATTTAACGTATAGTTGGCTTTTTTTAGTGAGGTTAAGACCAAGCAGTCAGCCCCAGTGCTGTCAGCCCAATCTACCAATTATAAAGTTGCTCACCAACATTTCACCTAATGAGTTTAGCAGCCATCAGTAATCACTGCCCAGACCAATTAGAAAAGGGTGAATTCACATGTAATTTTGTCAGAGCCTGCCAAGCTCCCATCTATAGGCGTGAACAATTTTGCATTCTTACCACAAAGTTGGAATGTCATCTGTTTTTTCACAGCCTTGCTAACAAACCTTGCTCTCACTTTTAATTTTTGCAAATCTGGAAGCTACAAATGGTATCTCGACATACATTATATTATGAACAGGATGGAGCGTCTTTTTATAACATTTTGGGAACATCTGCATTTCTCTATGAATTATCTGTATGTCTTGCTCATTTTTCTTTTCAATTTTTAGAAACTCATGTATTAAGGCTGTTATCTCTGTAAGTGATGTAAGTTGCAAATAATTTTTCTCATTTTATTATTTATCTTTGGCTACATAGGTCATATTTTTGTCATGCAAGTTTAAAAATTTTTGTGCAAATTTTCAATCTTTTATTGCTTCTGGATTTTAAGTCAGACTTGGGAAAGTTTTCTACTCTTCTGGATTATGAAGGAATCCATTCATAAAAATCATTTGATTTGTATGGTTTCATTTTTTATATTTAGCTCAATGATAAAAAGGGATTTTTTACTTAATTTGTTAATATTATTTTTTGACCTACACAAGACTATTTTATTATTATTTTTTTTAATTTTTTTTTCAACGTTTATTTATTTTTGGGACAGAGAGAGACAGAGCATGAATGGGGGAGGGGCAGAGAGAGAGGGAGACACAGAATCGGAAACAGGCTCCAGGCTCTGAGCCATCAGCCCAGAGCCTGACGCGGGGCTCGAACTCACGGACCGCGAGATCGTGACCTGGCTGAAGTCGGACGCTTAACCGACTGCGCCACCCAGGCGCCCCTGTACATCCTCATTAAAATAGAAATAGGGTTATTTGAACCACTAGTAGCAATAAGCAGTGTATTAGAAACATAACTCCAAATAAATGATAGCATCTGAATGTCCAGTCTTGGCCACTTTAGGTTGTAATTATACTGCTTTCTCAATCCATTTGACTATCCATTTTAATACCTTTAATATTTCGTATGTTGTATTCAAATGAATTGTTTTTTTCTCACAGTATAATAAACCAGCGAAGAAATGGAAGGTTATGACTCAGGAATTCATTAATCAGCACACAGTGGAACACAAAGGAAAACAAATCTGTAAATACTTTCTGGAAGGGAGATGTATTAAGGTAAATTTATAGTGATATCTCATGAGTCATCTTAACTTCCAAAATAATCTTTAAAATTTAGTCTTTTGGGGGTGGTTAGGTTTTTCATTTCTCATATAGTTGTAATAAAGCTATTTCTTTGAAATGTATCTTGCATGGAAATACTGTACCACAGAGCTCATTTAATTATATTCTGGGACAGTAATATACTTTGTTAAATCAGGTTTTATTTAACAAACACATAATGCTGACTATGTGGCAAGTACTGTTCAAAGTGGATCACTAATATTAAACGTTTTAATCTTTACAGCAAACCTATGAAGTAGTTACTGTTAATTCTCCCCACTTTATTTTTTTATTTTTTTTAATGTTTATTTCTTTTGAGAGAGAGAGAGAGTAGGGGAGGGGCAGAGAGAGAGAGGGAGACAGGGAATCCCAAGCAGGTTCTGTGCTGTCAGCGCAGAGCCTGAAGCAGGTTCAGTCTCA